ATGAGGAGGGAATAGGCACGAAGCCAAAGAGAGCGCTACATGTATCCGCTCACCTGAACGGCACGTCGCTTCCGACTGTTTGGGCCCAATAGGAAAATCGCTAGGCTTGCGTAAGTCTGGTATGTCATGGTATGTCATGTTATGCTCTACGATGCTGTGTTATGAGGTGTGGTGTTATGCTCTGTTCTGTATGATCCATTATGTCACGGCGTATGGTTTTATGTTGTGGTCTGTTCTGTGATGGTACAACATGTTATGCCGCGCTATGCCATGTTATTGTGTCATATGTGTCGCGATGATAGATTACATGTGGTATGTGCTGTAATGATTTGTGATGTTGTGGTGTGTTCGGCCATGGTATGTTATGTTATGCGCTGCTCTGCCATGCTATGGTTTGTCATTAGATGATATGTGTGCGCTGCTGCGCTGGCATGCCATAACCTGTGTTGTTATGTTGTGATGGTGTATGGTATGTTATGTCGTGGTATGTGAGGCTATAACATGTTGGTGTGTTCAGTTCTGAGATGGGTTATTATGGTATTTGTGTTTTGTCGTGTTATGGAATGTTATGTGCTGCGATGCTGTGTTATGGTATGTGCTGCTCTGCCATGAGGTGTTATGTTACAGTCGGAGGTTGGGGAATGAGATCGCAGTGGAACGGAGATCCCCAACTGGGAAATCGTTTCGTTTCATTCGCGTCGTGCGTGCGGGCGAGGCGAAGCTGCGTGGGCGCGCGAGAGGAATGAACCCGCCGTTGCTAGGGCGAAGTCAAGACAAATGATTCTCCCCCGCCCTCCCGTCCGGCGGTGTCTCGCGGTGTCCCGCGGTGTCCCGTCGTGTCCCGTGGTGTCCCGTGGTGGCCGCCGTTACCCGCCGTTGCTAGGGCGAAGTCAAGACAAGTGATTATCCCCCGCCCGCCCGTCCGGCGGTGGCTCGCGGTGTCCCGCGGTGTCCCGTGGTGTCCCGTGGTGTCCGCCGTTGCTAGGGCGAAGTCAAGACAAATGATTCTCCTCCGCCCGCCCGCCCGTCCATCCGTCCGGCAGTGGCTCGCGGTGTCCCGCGGTGTTCCGTGGTGTCCCGTGGTGTCCCGTGGTATCCCGTGGTGTCCCGTTGAGTGAGATCGATAGTGAGATCGATATTGAGATCGATGTGGTGCCCCGAGGTGGCCCATGGTGTCCCGTGGTGTCCCGTTAAGTGAGATCGATAGTGAGATCGATAGTGAGATCGATAGTGAGATCGACAGGTGTCCCGTGGTGTCCCGTGGTGTCCCGTTGAGTGAGATCGATAGAGCGATCGATTGGGTGATCGATGGTGAGATCGATGTGGTGCCCCGAGGTGGCCCATGGTGTCCCGTGGTGTCCTATGGTGTCCCGTTGAGTGAGATTGATAGTGAGACCGATAGTGAGATCGAGAGGTGGCCCGCGGTGTCCCCTGGTGTCCCGTGGTGGCCCGTGGTGTCCCGTTGAGTGAGATCGATAGTGAGATCGATAGTGAGATCGATAAGTGTCCCTTTATGTCCCGTGGTGTCCCGTGGTGTCCGATGGTGTCCCGTTGAGTGAGATCGATAGTGAGATCGATTGGGTCAGATGTTGATTTTCCCCCCCCCCCCCTCTCAACCTCCTTATCACCCGAAGGGTGGTCGTACAGGTATGTTATGTCATGATATTGTATGTTATGCTCGAACATGTTATGTTGAGTGGTGTGGAGTTATGCTCTGTTCTGTCACAGCTGATAGCATGTTGCTGCAATAGGCTTTGCTATTTTCTAATGCTGGTCTGTCATGTTATGATTTGTCGGCGCGAGGCGGGACACTCGGGGACACGGTATGCAAAGTAGCGTGAGGCGCTACTCTCGGGGACATTCTGGGGAATTGGAGATCTGGCGGCCGCGGTATGCAGAGTGGTGCGGGGCGGGACTCTCGGGGATATTTGTGGACCTGGGGATCTGGCGGCCGCGGTATGCTGAGTGGCGCGGGGCGGAACTCTCGGGAACACTCGGGGGACTCGGGGATCTGGCGGCCGCGGTATGCAGAGTGGCGCGGGGCGGGACTCTCGGGGACATCCAGGGGACCTGGAGATCTGGCGGCCGCGGCATGCAGGGTGGCGCGGGGCGGAAGGCCCGTCCTCGGAATCTGACGACCCCAATGGGTCGAGCGGGGAAAAAGCGTATATAAGATCCTGACGCCTCGACTTTTTTCGAGCCGGGCGTCGTCGCCCGATTTCGGGCCCTGGGACCCTCGCATACTGATCCGGCTCGAAAGTAACGCAGAAAGAGAAAGGTCTGGGGCTCCAATCGTAATGTCCTTGTGTGCTTGAAATTACTTCGCGCCCCCACCTCCCCAGGCTTCCCGCAAGCGTCCCATGCTCCCCTCGTGGTGAAACGAAGGATTGCAAAAAAAACCAAGGATTGCAAAAAAAAACATGTTTTTTTTGCAATCCTTCGTTCAAGGGTTTTTTTGCAATCCTTTTTGCAATCCTTCGTTTTTTTGCAATACCCGGCGTCTCAAAAGAAATCGAGTTTAAGGCTGTCCATAGTGTTCGGCCCCTCGGCGCCCTCGCTGGGCCTCGGGGCCGTCGAGAGACGACTCGGGATGAAAACTGGTCCTGGGGAAATGGTCGAGAGGTCGGGGGCCCGCGTCTCGAAAAGACCGGATGTCTGGGGATGGGTTCGGAGCATCGCGCCGCATCGCCGATGCATCGGCGATGCATCGGCGATGCGGCCCGATGTGGAGCCCGATTTCCCCCACGCCGAGCCGAGACATCACCGACGTCGCCGATGTATCGCCGATACATCGCCAATGCATCGGCGATGCGGCGCGATCCTCTGACCCCATCTACTCGGACCCCATCGAGGAGGCCTCGAAGGTGAGAAAATAACGACAGGAGGTGTTTGGCAACGTTCGGCCTCCGGTCTAAACCTTTGGGTTCCACATTGTGAAAAAATAGCGACGTCCGGAGTTCTGGGAAGCGAGCGGGTCCTGAGGGAAGCCGGTCCCGAGGCTTTCCGCCGTCTTCGAGCTCCCCAGGCCCTCCACGGGCCCTGGGGCTGTCTAAAGACGACCTGGGACGAAGACCCCGACATCCGCCGATGTGTTTTTCCCAACCATCCTGTGGTGTTGGGTCCTCGTTTTGAAGAGACGTCGCCCCGCGTTCCTTCCTTCCTTCCCGCTGCCCCCTCCCTCCTCCCATCTTCATCATCATCGTCATCATCCCCATCATCGTCATCGTCATCATCCTCTGTCGTCATCATCATTATCACCACCCATGTCGGCACACCCCTCACACGTTTCGTGACCCCATAGGGAGCTCCACCGAAGGTCCCAGTGCGTGTGCCCGCATGCGTCCCGCACACTCATTTCGGCACACCCTTCACACGTTTCGTGGCCCCATAGGGAGCTCCACCGAAGGTCCCAGTGGGTGTGCCCGCATGCGTCCCGCACACCCATTTCGGCACACCCCTCACACGTTTCGTGGCCCCATAGGGAGCTCCACCGAAGGCCCCATGGCTGCCGTCCGCATGCGTCCCGCACACCCATTTCGGCACACCCCTCACACTTTTCGTGGCCCCATAGGGAGCTCCACCGAAGGCCCCAGTGCTGCCGTCCGCATGCGTCCCGCACACCCATTTCGGCACACCCCTCACACGTTTCGTGGCCCCATAGGGGGTTCCACCGAAAGTCCCAGTGGGTGTGCCCGCATGCGTCCCGCACACACATTTCGGCACATCCCTCACACGTTTCGTGGCCCCATAGGGAGTTCCACAGAAGGCCCCAGTGGGTGTGCCCGCATGCGTCCCGCACACCCATTTTGGCACACCCTTCACACGTTTCGTGGCCCCATAGGGAGCTCCACCGAAGGTCCCAGTGGGTGTGCCCGCATGCGTCCCGCACGCACATTTCGGCACACCCACCTCTCACTGTTGTCTGGCCCTATAGGGAGCTCCACTCGAAGGTCCCAGTGGTGTGCACGCACGCGTCCCACACCCATTTTCGGCCCACCCTCACACGTTTTTCGTGGCCCCATAGGGAGCTCCACCGATGTCCCAGTGGGGGTGCCCGCATGCGTCCCGCACACCCATTTCGGCACCCCCTCACACGTTTCGTGGCCCCACAGGGAGCTCCACCGAAGGCCCCAGTGCTGCTGTCCGCATGCGTCCCGCACACCCATTTCGGCACACCCCTCACACGTTTCGTGGCCCCATAGGGAGCTCCACCGAAGGTCTCAGTGGGTGTGCCCGCATGCGTCCCGCACACACATGTCGTCCCACCCCTCACACGTTTCGTGGCCCCATAGGGAGCTCCACCGAAGGTCTCAGTGGGTGTGCCCGCATGCGTCCCGCACACCCATTCCGGCACATCCCTCACACGTTTCGTGTCCCCATAGGGAGCTCCACCGAAGGTCCCCGTGGCGCAGTCCACATGCGTCTCCTTTGCCCAGTACAGCGTTACGTGGCCCCATATGGAGCCCCACCGCAGGTCCAGCCAGCCAGCTAGCTCTCTTTGCTCCGCGCAGCGGGCGACCCGCGCGCGTCGCTGGGACTCCTCCGGGGCGACCTGCGCGCGTCGCGGGGGCTCCGTGCTGCGTTCCGCCCAGCGCCTCGCTCGCCCGTCGTCGCTCTGCCCAGCGGCCAGAGCCTTGCCCGCTATCAGCCAGCCAGCTAGCTCTCTTCGCTCCGCGCAGTGGACGACCCGCGCGCGTCGCTGGGACCCCTCCGGGGTGACCTGCGCGCGTCGCGGGGGCTCCGCGCTGCGCTGCTCCCGCAGCCTTGGACTTTTGAGTGCGCGGGCAAAGAGGGAGTAAAGGAAGGGGAGGAAGCGGGCGCGATCCTCGCGGGGGGGCGCGCCGACATTGTCGTCGCGGCGCGCGGGCGATGCCGTCGGGGAGTCCCGGGGAAGCTCCTTGCGGCGGCCACGCCCAGCGTCACGAGTATTCAGAGGCAGTCGTTGTCAAACTATTGGCATTCATACACATTTGCACCACGCTTTGTCATATTCGCATTCATGCACGTAGACTCGCTCGCACGCAGATCATTCACAGTCAGACGCACGCGCGCAGATACACCCGCGCTCAGTCTCCCTACGTACTCAGATCAATCGTTTTCGTTCACTTTGTGTACCACGCCACTCATGTCGGCACGCCCCTAGCACGGTTCGTTGCCTCATAGGGATCGCCACCGAAAAAATGAATCACTATTGCGGTACTCGCACCTGCATATGGTTGGGTCCCTCGTCAGGCTAATTTTCTACCCGAGGCCCCAGAAGTCCCGACTACCTCCCCAGGGGGGGGTACTTTTTCGTCCCGGATGTATCTTTAAGTGGGGCACGTCCCTCTACAGGAGGAATTTTCAAAAATAGTCAAAAAATAGTATGGGAACGATTTTTCTCATGTTTTTTTTGACATGTGTTTAGTATTTGTGTGGTATGTTTTATTTTTCCTCCAAAAATCTGCCTGTAGGAGGACATGCCCGACCTAAGACGACCTCCCCACGGGGGGGTATTTTTTCGTCCTGGATGTATACGTGATGGCCCCAGGGTGCGACAGCGGGCCCCCAGAGTTCCGAGGTCGAAGAAGAGCAGCCGGCGGAAAAAAAAAAAACTTATCCTCCTCCTCCTCCCCCTCCTCCTCCTCCGCCTCCTCCTCCTCCTCCTCCTCCTCCTCCTCCCTCTCCCCGCCCCCTCCTCCTCCCCCTCCCCCTCCCCCTCCCCCTGGTCTGAGATGGTCTGACATGGCCAAGGACTGTCGCGAAGACCAAGGCGCAGCGCGCCGTCAGACACCAACGCGTGGGCTTCCAGGCCAATGCCCCGATCATCTGGGCACAGCCCTTCTGACGCGCTATACGCTTGGCCTCATGGCGAGCAGAACTCGAGCGCGCGCGAAGCGCGCGCAATGGTTCTAGTCGAAGAGGAACCGCAGGCAGACCAAAAAAACACCGTCGCAGATCTGGGGAGCCGGCCCTGTGGACATGCCCCGGGCTCGGGGCCCGCCTCCCTCCGGGCCCGCCTGCTTCCCTCTCTGGGCCTCCCGGCTGGGGCCCGAGCAGATGGGGCCCGAGGATCGCGCCGTATCGCCGAGGCACCTCGGCGACGTCTGCGGTGCATCGGCGACGTCGGCGCTAAGAAAGTGGTGCTCCGCATCGGGCCGCATCGCCGATGCATCGGCGATGCGGCGCGCTCCTCCGACCCCATCGGGGAGGCCTCTATTCACGCCGGAAGGTCGGCGGCCGACGGCCGCCGCGGGTTGCTCGCCGCCACGCTCGGCGGCCTGATCGGCTCGGCGGCCATGCAGGACGAGGCCCCGGCGATGGTCGAGTTCGCGAGAAAGGCTTGAGGGTGCACAACCCGCCCTGGGCATCCCCGCCCTGGGCATGATATCTGGACCTATGCTTACGCATGTCTCCCCTTTTCGCTTCCTACCTCAGTCCCTCGTCTTCGCCCTGACCCATGCGAGCTTGGTGGAGTCCCCTTCCCATCAGCTGGGAAGCTGGCAATGTTCATCATCGGGGTCTTCTCGGGGGAGAAAGAAGACCCCTGGCGGGGCTCGAGGTGTGCAGGCGTCCTCGAGGGTCCCCCTCGGCGGTGTTCTATAGCCTTAAGTCGGGCGTGTCCCTCTACAGGAGGAATACTCAGAAGTTAGAAAATAGTCTGGGGACGATTGTTCGAGTAGTTTAGTATGTTTGATCATTTGTTGATTAGATTTTGAGTTTGTTCCCAACCATCCTGTGGTGTTGGGTCCTCGTTTTGAAGAGACAGCGCCCCGCGTCTCCTGACCCCCCGCTGCCCTCCTCTCCTCCTCCCCCTCCTCTCCTCCCTCCCCCTCCTCCATTTTCGGCACACCTCCGCATCCCACTTCTCTTCGTGCCCCCTAGGATAAGGGGGGGGAAGGAGGCCCCAGTGCTGCCGCCCGCATGCGTCACGCACACCAAATTCGGCACACCCCTCACACGTTTCGTGGCCCCATAGGGAGCTCCGCCGAAGGCCCCAGTGCTGCCGCCCGCATGCGTCACGCACACCCAATTCGGCACACCCCTCACACGTTTCGTGGCCCAATAGGGAGCTCCACCGAAGGCCCCAGTGCTGCCGCCCGCATGCGTCACGCACACCCCATTCGGCACACCCCTCACACGTTTCGTGGCCCCATAGGGAGCTCCGCCGAAGACCCAGTGCTTGCCGCCCGCATGCCGTCAAACCCACCCATTTCGGCACACCCCTCACACGTTTCGTGGCTCCATAGGGATCTCCACCGAAGGCCCCAGTGCTGGCGCCCGCATGCGTCACCCACATCCAATTCGGCACACCCCTCACACGTTTCGTGGCCCCATAGGAGCTCCGCCGAAGGCCCCAGTGCTGCCGCCCGCATGCGTCCCCCACACCCAATTCGGCACACTCCTCACACGCTTCGTGGCCCCATAGGAGCTCCGCCGAAGGCCCCAGTGCTGCCGCCCGCATGCGTCACCCACACCCAAGTCGGCACACCCCTCACACGTTTCGTGGCCCCAAAGGAGCTCCGCCGAAGGCCCCAGTGCTGCCGCCCGCATGCGTCACCCACACCCAATTCGGCACACCTCTCACACGCTTCGTGGCCCAATAGGAGCTCCGCCGAAGGCCCCAGTGCTGCCGCCCGCATGCGTCACGCACACCCAATTCGGCAACACCCCTCACACGTTTCGTGGCCCCATAGGGAGCTCCACCGAAGGCCCCAGCGGCCGCGCTCACATGCGTCCCCGCCACCCATCCCGGCACGCCCCTCACAACAACAGGTTTCGTGGCCCCATGGGGAGCTCCACCGAAGGCCCCAGTGCTGCCGCCCGCATGCGTCACGCACACCCAATTCGGCACACCCCTCACACGTTTCGTGGCCCCATAGGAGCTCCGCCGAAGGCCCCAGTGCGGCCGCCCGCATGCGTCACCCACACCCAATTCGGCACACCCCTCACACGTTTCGTGGCCCCATAGGAGCTCCGCCGAAGGCCCCAGTGCTGCAGCCCGCATGCGTCACCCACACCCAATTCGGCACACCCCTCACACGTTTCGTGGCCCCATAGGAGCTCCGCCGAAGGCCCCAAGTGCTGCCGCCCGCATGCGTCACCCACACCCAAGCCGGCACACCCCTCACACGCTTCGTGGCCCCGTAGCCCCACCGAAGGCCCCAGTGCTGCCCCCCCGCACGCGCCCCGCACACCCAATTCGGCACACCCCTCACACGTTTCGTGGCCCCATAGGGAGCTCCGCCGAAGGCCCCAGTGCTGCCGCCCGCATGCGTCACGCACACACAATTTGGCACACCCTCACACGTGTCGTGGCCCCATCGGGAGCTCCGCCGAAGGCCCCAGTGCTGCCGCCCGCATGCGTCACGCACACCCCCAATTCGGCACACCCCTCACACGTTTCGTGTCCCCATAGGGTGCTCCACCGAAGGTCCCAGTGGGTGTGCCCGCATGCGTCCCGCACACCCATTTCGGCACACCCCTCACACGTTTCGTGGCCCCATAGGGAGCTCCGCCGTAGGCCCCAGTGCTGCCGCCCGCATGCGTCCCGCACACCCATTTCGGCACACCCCTCACGCGTTTCGTGGTCCCATAGGGAGCTCCGCCGAAGGTCCCAGTGGGTGTGCCCGCATGCGTCCCGCACACCCATTTCGGCACACCCCTCACACGCTTCGTGGCCCCATAGGGAGCTCCACCGAAGGTCCCAGTGGGTGTGCCCGCATGCGTCCCGCACACCCATTCGGCACACCCCTCACGCGTTTCGTGACCCCTCACACGTTTCATGGTCCATAGGACTCCACCGAGGCCCCAGTGGGTGTCCGCCATGGGTCCCGCCCAGTCCATTTCGGCACCCCTCGCACGTTTCGTGGCCCCGTACTCCACCGAAGGTCCCATGGGTGTGCCCGCACATGCGCCCGCACACCCAATTCGGCACACCCCTCACGCGATTCGTGGCCCCATAGGGAGCTCCACCGAAGGTCCCAGTGGGTGTGCCCGCACGCGTCCCGCGCACCCATTTCGGCACACCCCTCACACGTTTCGTGGCCCCATAGGGAGCGCCACCGAAGAAGATATTCACAATTGCGGTATTCACAATTGCATGTGGTTGGGTCCTTCGCCAGGATACTTGTATTCGCCGTCCAAAATCCGCTTGGAGGGGGACCTGCCCGACCTAACTATAGCCCCCGGGTTGCTCTCTCTGGCAGCTGCGCCTCACCGACGGGCGCTCCTGGGGTGCCCCAGATCGTCCCGAGCGGCCGGCGCAGGCCCGAGCTATGACCCGAAGACCAGTTGGGCGGTGGACCCATGCCTCCCCTCTCGCTGCGAAAGAACCACGAGGAGGAGGAGGAGGAGGAGGAGGAGGAGGAGGAGGAGGAGGACGGGGAGGAGGAGGAGGAGGAGGAGGAGGAGGAGGAGGAGGAGGAGGAGGAGGAGGAGGAGGGGACCCCGCTGGGCGGTGGACCCCCGCCTCCTCGCGGCACGAACCAAATTAGCCTGACGAGGGACCCAACCATATGCAGGTGCGAGTACCGCAATAGTGATTCATTTTTTTCGGTGGCGATCCCTATGAGGCAACGAACCGTGCTAGGGGCGTGCCGACATGAGTGGCGTGGTACACAAAGTGAACGAAAACGATTGATCTGAGTACGTAGGGAGACTGAGCGCGGGTGAATCTGCGCGCGTGCGTCTGACTGTGAATGATCTGCGTGCGAGCGAGTCTACGTGCATGAATGCGAATATGACAAAGCGTGGTGCAAATGTGTATGAATGCCAATAGTTTGACAACGACTGCCTCTGAATACTCGTGACGCTGGGCGTGGCCGCCGCAAGGAGCTTCCCCGGGACTCCCCGACGGCATCGCCCGCGCGCCGCGACGCCAATGTCGGCGCGCCCCCCCGCGAGGATCGCGCCCGCTTCCTCCCCTTCCTTTACTCCCTCTTTGCCCGCGCACTCAAAAGTCCAAGGCTGCGGGAGCAGCGCAGCGCGGAGCCCCCGCGACGCGCGCAGGTCACCCCGGAGGGGTCCCAGCGACGCGCGCGGGTCGTCCACTGCGCGGAGCGAAGAGAGCTAGCTGGCTGGCTGATAGCGGGCAAGGCTCTTGCCGCTGGGCAGAGCGACGACGGGCGAGCGAGGCGCTGGGCGGAACGCAGCACGGAGCCCCCGCGACGCGCGCAGGTCGCCCCGGAGGAGTCCCAGCGACGCGCGCGGGTCGCCCGCTGCGCGGAGCAAAGAGAGCTAGCTGGCTGGCTGGGACCTGCGGTGGGGCTCCATATGGGGCCACGTAACGCTGTACTGGGCAAAGGAGACGCATGTGGACTGCGCCACGGGGACCTTCGGTGGAGCTCCCTATGGGGCCACGAAACGTGTGAGGGATGTGCCGGAATGGGTGTGCGGGACGCATGCGGGCACACCCACTGAGACCTTCGGTGGAGCTCCCTATGGGGCCACGAAACGTGTGAGGGGTGGGACGACATGTGTGTGCGGGACGCATGCGGGCACACCCACTGGGACCTTCGGTGGAGCCCCCTATGGGGCCACGAAACGTGTGAGGGATGTGCCGAAATGGGTGTGCGGGACGCATGCGGGCACACCCACTGGGACCTTCGGTGGAGCTCCCTATGGGGCCACGAAACGTATGAGGGGTGTGCCGAAATGGGTGTGCGGGACGCATGCGGGCACACCCACTGGGACCTTCGGTGGAGCTCCCTATGGGGCCACGAAACGTGTGAGGGGTGGGCCGAAATGGGTGTGCGGGACGCATGCGGGCACACCCACTGGGACCTTCGGTGGAGCTCCCTGGGGCCACGAAACGTGTGAGGGGTGGGCCGAAATGGGTGTGCGGGACGCATGCGGGCACACCCACTGGGACCTTCGGTGGAGCTCCCTATGGGGCCACGAAACGTGTGAGGGGTGTGCCGAAATGGGTGTGCGGGACGCATGCGGGCACACCCACTGGGGCCTTCGGTGGAGCTTGTGGGGGTGTGCCGAAATGTGTGTGCGGGACGCATGCGGGCATGTTCGGTGGAGCCCCCTATGGGCCACGAAAACGTGAGGGGTGTGCCGAAATGGGTGTGCGGGACGCATGTGGGACCTTCGGTGGAGCTCCCTATGGGGCCACGAAACGTGTGAGGGGTGTGCGAAATGGGTGTGCGGGACGCATGCGGACACCCACTGGGACCTTCGGTGGAGCTCCCTATGGGGCCACGAAACGTGTGAGGGTGTGCCGAAATGGGTGTGCGGGACGCATGCGGGCGCACCCACTGGGACCTTCGGTGGAGCTCCCTATGGGGCCACGAAGCGTGTGAGGGGTGTGCCGAAATGAGTGTGCGGGACGCATGCGGGCACACGCACTGGGACCTTCGGTGGAGCTCCCTATGGGGTCACGAAACGTGTGAGGGGTGTGCCGACATGGGTGGTGATAATGATGATGACGACAGATGATGATGACGATGACGATGATGGGGATGATGACGATGATGATGAAGATGGGAGGAGGGAGGGGGCAGCGGGAAGGAAGGAAGGAACGCGGGGCGACGTCTCTTCAAAACGAGGACCCAACACCACAGGATGGTTGGGAAAAAATGGCGACGGGAAGCGCCTGGCAGTGTGCGGCCTGCGGGAGCCCACGCTGGGCCCCAGGACCGTCAAAACACGGCACGGGAGGAAGCCGGCCCAGGGAATGTAGGCCTCCCAGATGGGGTCGGAGCAGGTGGGGTCGGAGGATCGCGCTGCATCGCCGACGCATCGCCGGTGCGGCTCGATTCGAAGCCCGATTTGCTTCACGTCGACGTCGCCGATGCATCGCCGACGTCGACAATGCATCGCCAGTTCATCGCCGATGCATCGCCGATGCGGCGCGATCCTCCGACACCATCTACTCTACTCGGACCACATTGAGGAGGCCTCTAGGGAAGGGTTCTACGGTCAGGAACTTTGGCTTAGCGTGTCGCTCCGCCGGTTCTGGCCCACCACGCTCTGGCGCGGCACGCTATCCAACTTCGCGACATGTTCCCAGCATCCCCCCCCCGCGGAAGGGAGCGACACGCTATCTGCTTGCAGCGCATGGCGTTTCGCTGGGGCCGCCGCCGCAACACGCTGCGCAAAAGTTCCTGGCCGTAAATCTCTACGGTTCCGGAGGAAGAGGAAGAAGAGGAGGAGGAGGAGGAGGAGGAGGAGGAGCAGGAGCAGGAGCAGGAGCAGGAGCAGGAGCAGGAGGAGGAGGAGGAGGAGGACGACGACGACGACGACGAGGACGAGGACGAGGAGGGGGAGGGGGAGGAGGAGGGGGAGGAGGCAAGGAGGAGGAGCACACGACGTCGGAGCTCTGGCTGGCCACCTCACCGCTCCTGGCAGGGGCGGTGCTGGGCCACGGGGGCGGCGAGCGGCGGCCGGCCCGCCCCGCCAGCAGGTGGCGTACCCGCCGATCGACAGGAAGAACAAGAAGCGCTGCGTGTGGCAGAGCTCCTCGATGGGGCAGTCCAATGCTGCGCGCGCGGGAGACCGCTTTTTACATCCCCAGACAGAATCGCGTCGTGAAAAAGATCAGGAGGGGAGGTGTTTGACCATTTTCGGCCTCGGGGGGCCCTCGCCGGGCCCCAGGACCGTCAAAAAACAACTCAGGATGACAAACTGGCCCCGGGGAACGAGTCGGGACTTCCAGGGACGCCGTCCTGACGAAAATCAGGACGGAAGCGTAGCGGGATCATGGGTCCGGTGCGCCGGGTCCGGTCCCGCCTGCTGGTTCGGTGTTGCCGGTTGGGGTCCGAGTTTGGTGCGGTTCGGTTCGGCCGGTTCGGGTCGCGGACCGGTTCGGTTCGCCGGTTCGGTTCGACTCTTAGTTCTCAGTCTTCGGGTCGATTCGTGGCCATCACATAACGGGCGTAACCAGGGAGGGGGGGGAAGTGTCGGTCACGCCACGATTCGCGCCAGTGCCGTATGGAGATGCCTGGGAATGGCTAGTTCCCAGACGGCGCCGGCGCGAATGGTGACGTGACCAAGGGGGGAGGGGTGCGGTTACGGGCGTTATCGCGAGTCATAAGAGAACGGGCTTCAGATGGGGGGATCTTCGACCTGCGCGAGTGCGACCTCAGCGGCACGAGCGCTGCAAGCAAGGACATCTCAGGAGCCGACGGCTCGCAGAAGGGGGTGGGGGGAGGGGGCAGCTTCTGAGAGGGCAAGGCGGTCCGTGAAAGCTTCCAGGAGGGCTTGTTCGAAGCCTCTGCGCACTTCCAAGAATCCAGGAGGAGGAAACTGTATCCATACCGCTACCCTTCGGCTGTTTTCCCCTTTTGGGGGCTCCTGGGAGGTCCTCGTCGCCACGGCTGGATTCGTCCCGAAACCCTTGATCAGAACGCACCCTGGGAGAGGTCCGGTGAGTAGCGGTATCGGTACCTCTGGGTTTCCCCAGAACCACCGTGCCGTCTCAGAAGATCCCCCCTCGCCCCGACCCCCTCGTGCGCCGCCGGAGGAGTGCTGATGAACGACGGGAAGTTCTCCGGTGTCGATTTCCAGGAGACCGTCATGAGCAAGGCGATCGCGGAGGGCGCGGACTTTTCGAACGCGAACTTTAGGAATGCGATCGCTGACAGGGTCGATTTCAGGAATTCGAACTTCCAGGGGGCTAGCTTCCAGAACGCCGTGATTACTGGATCAAATTTTGAGGGCGCTGATCTCACAAATGCCGATTTCACGGACGCGTACATTGCCATGTATGACGTGAAGCCGCTCTGCAAAAACCCAACGATGAAGGGCACGAACCCCAAGACTGGCGCGGACACGTACGAGAGCGCTGGGTGTTTCAACACAGGGCTCGCGCGGTGAGTGGTAGTGTGCGCTTAGCTTTTCTCACAGTGCAGCTTCTCGCACTGGTGATTTCAGATGTTGTAGACACACCTTCGATTGAAGGCCTTTTCTGCCGAACCCAAGGCAACACGCAAAATTGTTTGGTTCTCTCAGCAAAAAAGCAGAATGGTTTGATACCGCGGGATTGCGGCGCCTTGCCAGGGCCCAACATACCCCGATGAGACTTCGAATCGGCTTCGCGGAACCATGAGATAGTATCACTATGAATTGGCATTTGGGATCCGATGGTGAGCTAATGCTTCCCCAAACGGTGCTTGCCCTTAAGGTTAGGTCGGGCCTGTCCCCCTACAGGCCGATGTTCGAGGAAAAATCAAAAGCAGTCCAAAAGTACTCAAAAGCTGCCAACAGATTCGCCTAAAAATAGTCCCCACACCATGGTTGAACTATTTTTGAATGTTCCTCCTGTAGTGGGACAGGCCCGACCTAAACTTAGGGGCTCTCGCCTCTGCTCTGAGGAGGTGGGCCTGCCTGCCGCTCTGGCTGCCGTCTTGCCGACCCCTCCGCCGCTGCGTGGCCGCCCGTCGTGTGGGCCTGCCTCGCAGGTCAGGGCGGCTGTGCTGCCGCCCCGTCGCCGCCTCGTCGCCGCCCGTTGGGTGGGCCGGTCTGCCGGTGTTGCCGCCGTCGCCGCCCCGTCGCCGCTCAGATTCAAGCAGGGGCGAAGCGTCCTGGGTCGCCTATAGCCCTACCAATCGATGTTCTGAGAACCTTTTTGCGGTTTCCACGAAATGTTCTTAGAACATTTCTGGCCGGGACTGTCTTGTTTTAGCACATCGGGCTTATGTTCTAAGAACGTGGCTGTTGTTATTGGAACATTTTCGGGTTCTAATAACATTTCGTGGTAGGACTATAAGAATGCCGGGACGGTCGGTCCCTGCCGAGTAGATTCTTTGTTAAAAAAGTATTCGGGCCAACCTCCCCCCCCCTGGATTTCACGCCTGGTGTTGCAGTAGTGTGTTCGTCTACACTCTGCACGCTCGTCCATCCGAAGCCCTGAGCCCCTACCATCCCAGGCAGTCCTTTATCGACCGCCCCCTCCTCATCCTTTCTGCAAAATTACTATGCGCGCACACTCGTTTATCAAATGTTACCAGTTGGCAAGAGTCCCTTGCAAACAAACGGGACGAAGTGCACACGCGCGCGTCGTCGCGCTCGCATGCCGAGATCATTTTGAAATCCTTAGGCCCCGTAAGGATTTCAATGTCGAGCGTCCTGAAAAAACATGTTCGAACCAAAAACTTACGTTGTCGCAACAGGACTTGTCACAAAATCATGCGCTCGCGCTCCTGCGAATTCTTAAGAAAAACACATAAGTTTTCAACAGTTTCATGAAAAGCCACCAAACGTGCCTCTCGCGCGCGCATGTCGACATCGTTCGGACACCCTTTGCGCGCGCGCTGTCGCAAGAATCCCCGGCACAAAAAAGAGGAACGAAGTGCACACGCGCGCGCCGTCGCGCGCGCATGCCGGAATGGAATCCTTCAAACAATTTAGGTTTCGCAGCGATGTCATAATCAAGTGTCCCAGCAAATATATAAAAAAACATGGTAGTGCAACAACAGTTTTCAAAAAGGTTTGCGCGCGCTCGTCATTGCGAATCCGTAGGAAAACCATAGGTTTGTCAACATGTTTATCACATTCAACCATAACGGGCTTCTCGCGCTGCATGTCGGAATCATTCGAACGCCTGTGCTCGCGTGCTGGGGGGGGCACGACCCTTGTCAAACAATACCGTGCGGGCCACTCGCGCGCGTCGGCCGCGCCCGCATGTCGAAATCCTTCCAACACCTTGACCACCGACGCGAGGACACCGTCATCGTCATCGGCGTGATCAGCATCGGCGCCGTCATTGACCCTGCCGTCGTCGTCGTCATCACCGTCACAATCATCGCAACTATGATCATTGCCTCTCCCGTTGCCGACGTTCATGATACCGCGCCCGCCCAAGCTACCGACTCGCACTGGAGTGCCCGCTGGGAAGTGCCCAGCGGGCAGCGTCACCGCGGCCGCGTCGGTCGCGTCAAACTAGCTGGCCGTTGCGCGCGCGAGCATGCGCGGACTAGCGCGAGCAGTGGAGTTGAGAACTTCACGTTTTTCTAAATCAACTTTGCTTTCTCAAACGAAAAATCTCCCCCCCCCGGAGTTATCCGTACCCCTTTCGGGTATGTAAATCATATGTGATTCTGACCACATGTCCACGATCCCCGGGGGACCGGGATCGGCACCCCTGAGGTTCCCCTGTAAAAAACGATACGCGGGGATTTTTTTGTTCTAACATAAGACTTGTTCGCGAATCCCTTGCAAAAAATGGGACGAAGTGCACACGCGCGCGCCGTCGCGCGCGCGCATGCCGAAATCCTTCAAAAACCTTCGGTGCCGGAAGGATGTCGCAATCGAGTTTCCAAAAAACATGCAAAAACACAGGGCTTCGCAGCACTGATTTGCTAAAAAACCTTACGCGCGAGCCTGTGCGAAATCTTAAGAAAACCATAGGTGTTTCAATATGTTTACAAAATGCTACCAAACGGGCTTCGCGCGCGCGTTTATCGAAATCTCTCGAACGCCCTTGCGCGTGTGCCGTCGGGAGAATCCTTTGCAAAAAAGAGGAACGAAGTGCAGACGCGCGCGTCGTCGCGCGCGTATGCCGAAATGCTTCAAAACCCATCGGTTTCGGAAGGATTTCAAAATCGTGTGTCCAAAATACCTACAACAACACAAGGTTTCGCAACACGGATTTTCAACAAAAGCGTGCGCACGCTCTTGCGTCTTCGTCGTCGTCGTCGTCGCCGTCCTCCCTCCTCCCGCGTCGTCGTCGTCGCCTACGTCGTCCTCTGTCTTTCCTCGTGTTCGTCGTCGTCGTCCTCTTTGGCGTCGTGGTCGTTTCCGTCGTCGTTGTCGCCGTGGTCGTCCTTCCTCCTCCTCCCTCGTCGTCGTCGTCGTCCGTCGTCGGCGTCTCGTCGTCGTCCCTCCTATTTCGTCGCCGTCGTCGTCGTCGTCGTCGTTGTCGTCGTCGTCGTCGTCGTCCCTCCTCCCTCGTCGTTGTCCTCGTCGGCGTCGCCGTCCTTCCTCCTTCTTCGTCGTTCGCGTCGTCGCCGTCCTCCCTCCTCCCTCGTCGTTGTCGTCGTTGTCGTCGTTATCGCCGTCGTCGTCCTCCCTCCTCCCTCGTCGTCGTCTTCGTTGGCGACGTCGTCGTTGTCTTCGTCGTCGTCGTCGGCGTCGTCGTCTTCGTCTTCGTCGTCGTCGACGTCGGCGTCGTCGTCGTCGTCGCCGTCGTCGTCGTCGTCGGCGGCGTCGTTGACGTCGTCGTCGTCGTTGGTGTCGTCGTTGTCGTCGTCGTCGGCGTCGTCATCGTCGTCGTCGTTGACATCGTCGTCGTCGGCGTCGGCGTCGTCGTCGTCGGTGTCGTCGTCGTCGTCGTTGTCGGCGTCGTCGAAGTCGTTGGAGACGTCGTCGGTGTCGTCGTAGTCGTTGTCGGCGGCGTCGTCGTCGTCGTTGTCGCTGTCGTCGTCGGCGTCGCTGTCGTTGCCAAGTGCCATTTGGTACCCACCGTCACGGTCTCAAGAGAGTTTGCAAACCAAGTTGCGAGTGGGTGGGTGGGATGTCTGCGCGAGCAGTGGAGGTGGTCAAGCGCGGTGCAGGGTAGTCAATTGCACCACGTAGACTGCACCAAATAGCTTGCTCCACATAGATTGCTTGATATACATCGTGAGGGACACAGTGTTTGGAGCCCACGCTGGCGAGCACCCAGTGGCGAAATTAGATACTCCTAAACAACAGCCAAGAGTGGGTAACAGTGGTCTGGATTTGGTGGGCCCAGTGGAGCGCCATGCAAAACCCAGCTGGAGCTGGAAGGCTCTGGCAGGGCAAGAGGCACGCTGGTCTTGGCCCCGCCGCTCGCCAAGTCTGCGCTGTACGGCAGACACATCAGATAAAGAAGCTTGCCTGCCAGCAGGTGCTATACGGATCTGGGCACGTGGGCATTTGACGAAGACGACCGCCGATTGGAAAAGTGCTTCGAGATCTCTAGTGACAGGAGCCTGTATCGCACGTACGGTCAAGGCGCTGAGATAAGAACCGGCATGGGTTTGGGAGAAGCTAGCGAGGCGGCAACGTGGCAAAACCTCGCGGGACCCACCCAGCGCACGAGGCGGCAACGAGGCGGCAGCGGGCGGCAACGCGGCGAGGCCTCGCGAGACCTACACAGCGCACGCGGCGGCAACGGGCGACAACGTGGCGACACCATGCTGGACCTACCCAGATCACGAGGCGGCAACGAGGCGGCAACGGTGGACCCACCCAGCGCACGAGGCGGCAACGGGCGGCAAGGTAGCGATACCTCGCCTGACCCATCCACTTCCTTTACAAGCGCAAGTAAGAACCCCTAAGTGCAAGCACTGTTTGGGAAAACAACGCAAGCAGGCTCGCGCGCAGTAGATTGGCAAACCTGAGGTAAAGTGCTGTCGCTGGCAGGTGATGCCCTGTCAGCCGGCGTTTGGCATCAGTATCAGGACATGGTACCAGAGATCGTTTGCCGCCTGTAGGAGTTGGACCTAAGGTTACGTCAAGGGGTCAGGGGGACGTGAGGGAGGAGCACAAGGAGGGACTTGGAGGGAAGGAGGGCCCTCGCGGCGAGGACAACTCGACCCTGTCTCCCGAGACCACCCCGGGAAAGTTCCACCGAGGCCCTTCTTTTTTGCACCGAGTGCTGGATGGTTGTTCGAGTCATCTGCCCGCGAGAGTATCGTTTCTTTCGCTCATACGGGAGCTGTCTTGTTCTCTCCTTCGGGCAGAAGCAGCAGCCTGTGCAGCTCACCGGTCTTTCTGCTCCTTCGATCGTTCCACAGCCGGCGCTTAGGAGTAAGGAGCCGCCCTCTCAGCGGAATCTCTTGCTAAGTTCCTTGAACAAGCCGTAGCCATTATTGCACAAGCTTGTGGCTCATAGGGGCAGCTTACCACAGGTCCCATGGTTTCTGGTCCAGTGGAGCTGTGGAGCCTCTACCTCAGGAGGCTCGAGCGCAGGCCAGTGCCCACAAAATGCTGCACGAGCTTCTGGATGTTCCTGGTCAGCCAACTGCTCGCGCAGTGCATCGCTGACGGCAGGGTGACCTCGTTCCGGAGGATGTTCGACTTTTGCTTCTGGGGCTCCATCATACCCATTGGCTCTCACAGGTGGCAGAACTTTCTAGCGGCCCATGGCCCCACGAACATGCTCGTGAAGATACCTTTTGACCACGTCATGTACCGGACTCCCATCCTCGTCGTGTTCCACATTTACATCAAGCTGATGCAGAACATGTCGTTTGGCCAGGCCCTGAAGTGGACCCTGCAAAACAACCCAAAGGTGCAGATTACATCGGCGAAACTCTGGCCGGTAGCCAACATCGCCAACTACCTGTTTGTGCCCCTGCCCCTGCGGGTGCTGTACCAGAACGTGGTCCTGTTCTTCTGGGTGCTGTACCTGTCCTACAAGACCGCTGGTGACAAGAAGCAGGATTCTTGGCACGAAGGAAACGGGTCCTCTCTCGATTAGGGTTGCGATCTGCTTCGCGATCTCTTTTTCATGTGGCTCGTGATGCGGACGGCACGCGCGCGAGCTACAGTGCCAACACCGGAGGAGGAGGAGGAGGAGGAGGAGGAGGAGGAGGAGGAGGAGGAGGAGGGAGGAGGAGGGAGGAGAGAGGAGGAGGAGGAGGAGGAGGAGGAGGAGGAGGAGGAGGAGGGGGGGGAGGAGGAGGAGGAGGAAGGAGGAGGAGGAGGAAGAGGACGAGGGAAACAGGTCCTGAGGGAAACGGGCCCTGAACCCCCAGGGGCCGTCCCCCGGAACCAGCTCTTCATCCCGAGTCGTGTTGTGACCGTCTCGGGGGCCGTTGGGAGCCCCGAGCGCCCGAAAAACGACGAAAAACATGGTGACACGAAGGATTGCAAGAAAAAACCCTAGAACGAAGGATTGCAAAAAATCTTGGGTTTTTTTTGCAAAACCTGGTTTTTTTGCAATCCTGGGTTTTTTTGCAATCCTTTTTGCAATCCTACGCCTCCCTCAGAGCCCGCTCCCAGAGATCCGACGCATTGATCTCGTCAACACGCGCTCCCCGGAAGCCCCGACCCTCTCCCCCGGGCGGGCTCTTCATCCCGAGTCGTTTCCTGACCGCCCCAGGGCC